CATATGGCTGGCATCTTGGTTACATTTCAATACAAGATGGCACCTAGAACATCCCAACATGACTGTTCCACCATCAGCTTCAATGCCTTGTGCAATGGCACACAGGTTGCCGAACTTGACCAGGTCAACACACAGATCTTTGGCCACTTCATGGTGTCCACCGGGACTTGTAGCCCCAAACTGCTGCAGGAAACACTGACATCCGCAGAGCATCCATACACAGTGCGGTTGAGGGATGCACACAAGAATGAGGGATGGTGAGTGCAGAATCTGTGACCGGCACAGCCTTCACTAAGCAACAGGACAGAAGCAGTCAGACGCGAGTCCCAAGCAGGCCAAGGCACTAAATGTTCGTGTTCTCCAACAACCACAAGAACGTGCACAGATGCGGGCCCTGCTGAGGATGAAGCCAGACAATGCCTTCTCACCCGGTCGGCTTGGTCTACTGATGCGCCCTTTTCCAACAACAGCGCCATGGTGCTCGTGTGCCCTTTCTCTGCTGCCCAAATGAGGGCTGTCCCCCCGTGCTGTGCATATCACACAACGACAAGGATGTCAATGGGCTCCAGGGACTCGAAGCACTTGACTAGCACCAGCGTGTGTCGATTCGCATCTCCAACACACCAATCTTGGACACTTCAAACGGGTGCGTCATAGAGTGCAGTACATTGTGCACTGCCACTTGGATATCTCAGGCAACTTGGTTACAGTTCAAATTGCCACAGCTGGATGCCCTCTATTGACATCTTCAACACACCTGGGGCATTATAGCGAATAAGCAAGCCCAGGTGCGCATGACACCTGCCTCCTGGAAGGGTTCAAGCATTATCACAACACTCTGAAGTATGTTTGGTGATTAAGATGCTTAAAAGCAGCACACCACTGGTGCAAGAGGACTTCAAGTCAGCAACATTGCTGAAAACGCTGGGTTTGGACTAAATAAAAGCACGTGCACAGATTGCACTACCAAAAATTGCATTGACTGATTGGCTGAAGGATGCACACATTTTCGGTGCTTGCGTGCTTGCGCATGACTGTGATTGTGGTGTTGTGCATGTTTCGGACAACCAGCAGATGAGTCCTGATGCTGCCTGGTGTGGATAGAAGCGCAGCACGAAACACAAACACGACCCCTCCACTGTGACCATCAATGCCTGCAAGCTGCCAAGGGGACTTCTTTTCCTCATGTCCTGTTGACAATTGTCAGCTATGGAATCACCACCCCCTGCTGCTGCAAATGCAAGGATGAGGCATAGAGTGTGGGCAAAAGAAGCTCTCATGAAAGGAGTTTCTTCTTCCTGCACTGGACTGTGATAGTGTTGTTGATGTCAATTAAATACAGAGCCACTTGGCAAATTCTATTTTTTTGCACACATATTCTGCAGTTGAGATCCGGCACGCACAGCTGCAAAGCCTTGACGTGCATATGGCTGGCATCTTGGTTACATTTCAATACACAGAATCCTAGAAGTAGAACCTATCATTCTGGGCCCAGCCCACAAGGGTATGCACTGCCTCTTGCAGCTTGGGGTGCTTCGCCTCTGGAATCTTCTCCATTCAATTTTCTGGTTGTTGTGACAGGAACTGCAAATGTTGCAGCATGTCTCTCAAGCGAATGGCGGCAGACAGCCTGGTCCGCCACTGATCTGGGGTCACTGCTGGAGCAACAGACATTGTGTTCCTCATTTTTAATGGAACAGCAAATATCCAGCAGCAATTGCACACAACTGTGTCCGAACTCAGGCAATGGCCGCATCAAACAAGCACACAACCAATTTAGTTCCGCGCCTCATCAGTCCATCAAAGAAAAGACAATATTTCACCCAGGTCTGTTGTCATTGTACAAGCATTCTCGTTGGCCATCCCAGGACTTACCACGTTTTGCTGAAGGTCCACATCTGTCTCACTCAAGTGGAACTCGACCATCTTGTCCATGCCATTCCTTGCACCCCAATGAAGAGGTGTGCATTCGTCCTGCTCCGCAGCCACAACATTTTCACCATGTACCACATTTCCAACAAGAAAGTGTGCTACTAACATCCAGTGTTACCAACCAACATTTAGGCGACTGCCCCACAATTGTGACGCACCCAGTCATAGATCCAGTGCTGACACAGCTTCGTTTCCTGCCGCTCCAGTGATATTTCGAGGTCTTGGAGCATCTGCTCGAGGCCTTCAGGAAACTTGCATTCTCGTGGGATGCCCAACACCTCCAAACATTCCAAATCCTTCACAAACAGTGGGAAGGCCATGTGTTCATTCCCCTGGAGCCTCAAAATCCTCAACTCCAACCATGTGCTCCCAATGGCATCAGGAATGTCCATCAATCGCAAACATCGTTGGACATCCAACTCTTGCAAATTAGGAAGGTTTGCCATAGTGCCAGGCAGTTCCACGAGGCTGCCACACTTATGCAATATCAACACTTCCAACCGATCTAACTGACCAATGCTAGCAGGCAAACTTGTCAACTGCCAACAGCCACCCAAATTCAGCACAATCAAACTTGTCAAATCTCCAAAATTCGGAGGCAATTCCTTGAGGCCAGTGCACCTGCTCAAGTCTAGCATGGTCAAGTTGTGCCATGCTTTCATGTCGGGATGCCATGAGTGTGCAACACCACATCGGGGCATCAATAACTTGGTCAACATCGACAGATTTCCTAGGGATGCAGGAACTTTGTAAATGCTTCTACAACCCCTCATGGACAGCACTCTCAATTGCACCAATTCACCGATTTCAACAGGAAGATATGCCAACTTTTCACAATAATCCACCCTGAGCAGCTGCGCAAACTGCAGACACGATATTTTTGTTGGCAATTCGACGATGCCTGAGGACGTCAGGTCAATTGCCAACAATTGGCTTGTCAAGAGCGATGGTGGCAGCTCTGATATCCCTGCATCTTTCAACACCAGAGCCTTCAACTCAGGCATGTGTAGATTCTGCAAGGCCCATGATTGGTTTGTTCCAATTCTTTGACTCGCAGAAAACCTCTTTGCCGTCAGTGTTTGATCCCTGCAATGGCTGTCTCTCACATGGGATGACACTAACCTCTGCCGTCTTGACATTTCTTCAGCGTTGACAATATGGAGAGCACAATCACGGACAACGTCATGCAAGTAATAGTGCACCCCACCATCGATAGGTTGAAATTCCAGAATGTCATAGGTATCTTGTCCTCTTTGCTTGATCAACGCCAGGTCTTCAAGGTCCCTCAACACTCGTCGCACTTTGCGCTCGTCAGCACATCTTCCTAGGCATTTTTGTAGTTCTGCCTCATCACACACACTGGCATTGTAGTCTTCAGGCAGTGTTGCCAAGTCCAGCAACACGCTTTGATGCAAATAGCCCAACCTGCTGAAGCTTATGCCAAACACACGATCAGCCACAGCTGTTTGGAACAAGGAGCTTGTTGTGAGGGCATCCACGGCATCCTTCCACATGTCCTTCTCCTCACAGCCCCCCATTTCTCTGATGTTGTTTGCCACCTTCCCCATGATTTCCAAAGCAAGTGGCAAGCCCCCACATTTTTCGACAATGGCTTCTATATGCTTATGTTGCCACCTCTTTGGCTTGTCTTCACCAAAGGCATGCTTGCAGAACAATTCATGTGATGCTTTGCTGTCCAAGCAAGTGACATCGTGGCACCTTGCGTGCACAACTTTGGCAACTTTGTCATCCCGTGAAGTAATAAGCACACGGCCACTTGCTGATGCAATATCAAGGTGCACCATGTCACCCTCTTCCCACAGATCATCAAGCACAAGAAGGAATGTTTTGTCTTGCAATTTTCCTTGCAGCTGCAACTTGCCATCTTCGACGCTGCAAAACTCCACCTTTTCTCCCACGAAAGCCTCCCATATTCTTTTGTGACACTGCATGACATCAGGTTGTTGTGACACTGTGACAAACACCACACCAAGACAACCGGTTTCCTCATTTTTTGCAAACCTAGCTTTGATCCGCTCATCATTCACGATTGACCTCGCGAGTGTGGTCTTCCCTACCCCGCCCATGCCCAAGAGCGCCACGTAGTTATTCTCATTGCCCATCAAAATTCCTGTGACGAGGGATACCTGCACAGCTTGGCCAACTGCCTCCACCCTACTAGGAAGACAATAAGACAGAGTAGTACCTTCTTTGCGCACAATTGATGCTACCCTCGATGCTACCCTTGATGCTACCCTTGACGTGACCCTTGACACCATTCTTGGCAATACTGGTCACAACAATAGCACAACTACCATCAACATTCTATTTAACAAATGAATTGATCAATGCACCACATGTCAACATTGATGCAACAGCATTGCAAACACATATACAATAAATATATATGCTTTGCCAAACATGCACAATCCACAATTCACTAACAAAAGGCTTCACAGGCACAGGCCATATACCAACAGAGATACATTGTTATCATACAAAATTGCAAACCGTCTTCTGTCCAAGACAACATCATCATGGTATACTTGTGTAATGATGTACTCTCCTTAAGATGAAGATTTTCTGCAGAACGGTTGTGACCACGGAAATCAAAAATGAGCAACCACACACTTTGCCAATGAATGGGCTATGGTACAAGCACATTTCATGCCAGAAGTTACACTTGTCAATACGGACCTGATACCCATCATCATAAGCACCACAGATTTACAGTGCAGTATGAGTTATCTTTCCACACAACAAGATGGCCAAGATTGAAGGGACTAGCACCAACATTTGGGGAGGGGGGGCACTACAACAGGCCTTTGTGAGACAACCCAGATCAATGCCCACATATGCCAACTCAAGCTCGTGTGGTCAATGGCAGAAGTGAATTGCATGACATCGACGCGAGCCAAGGCACGGCGACTGCAAATTTGCATCTTGATGGACATAGACAACAGTGAAATGAAGCAAGTGCTCACTCAAAGTTCCACATCGTGCTTTGGATTACTAGAGGTGTTCCATTGTTGATTGCGCAATGGTCTCTCTTGTTCCTTGCAACTCACAAGTGCTTTCCAAACGATCTGGCATGTCCTGGACAGCCTTGTTCGTGTCGTGCTGCTCGTATGCTGACAACCGCAGCTCGCACTCTGATGCGAGCTTCAGAACTGCAGACGGCCCCGGTTTTCCCTTGAATACCCCATGTACGGTCATCTGCACCGTTGACTGGTACTCGAAACTCTCGAGTTGTCGGGCGCCCTCCTCTATCACACCCAGCAACTCTGACAGCTCCTCAAACCGACTCTCCGCCCGGCCCTGCACAGCACGCTGCAGCGTCTCCACGGTGCGCTCCGCGACTCGCGAGAGCGTCGTTCGCGCCGGCTGGAGGTTGTCCACGTCGGACTTGACCCTTCCCGCCACCTCGAGGGCGAAGCCCAGCACCGACAGGGCCGGACCGACGACGGGCAGGGTGCCCAGGGCGTCCTTCGCAATCGCTCCGGCGGTGTTCAGCACGCTGACAACCGACTGGGCAGTGGCCAGCTGATGCACGCGGAGGGGCCAGCCCGTCGGCTCTCTCTCCGGCAAATTTTCAAGTCCAACGCCGGCGCCCACCCGACTGTTCAGCAGATCGATCCATGGCCGCACTCGCCATCGCAAGGCAGCCACCCAGTGTGCCGCATCGTCGGCGGTCTCCGCCCTGAACTCCTGCTTGTCCTCTCCAAGCTGCACCGCCCACTGGCAGTCCCCCTCCGTGTGGATCACCTCCGTGCGGCCCCGCACCAGCGCCATGCTGTGCCCCTTGCCCACCCAGGCCTTGGTGTCCTTTGGCAGGACTCCGTCGCCCTTTGCGCCGATCCACCTGAGGTCCATCCGAGCCAGCAGGTGCACGCGCTTCCATCGATTCGACCGCGGCGACCAAACCTCCACGCAGCCGGCATCCGGAGCCATCAACGTCCGCCGCACATTCTCTGTTGCATGTTCATCGGTGTCTTCGCCGGTGCTGGCCATCGCCCAGGGCGCCGGGAAGGCCTTGTCGAACGGCCTGGTGATCAGACATGAGGGCCAAAAGCGCATCTCCGCTCAGAACCGAGACGCCATTCCAAAGAGCACTCCAGGGCAGGCGCCAAGGGAGGAGCGGGGCAGGGTTGCTCCCAGGCGGGTTGCACAGCACACAGGGCATAGAGATAGCCATCGAAACATCATGGTCCTCCCCGCCCCCCACCCACACACACACGCACGCACACCCCACCACCACTACCACAAACGCGCAACCTCTTCCTAGCAGGCGACGACGGAAATTCGATGCAATTCCGGGTGGCGAGGTGTGAGAACGCCGCGCCGCGCCTCTCAGCTTGGCAACAGCGGTGCCACCGATGCGGACGACGGGCTCCCGCCAGAGCGGTGAGCAGGGACTTCCACAAGGACCCTGCAGTGGCGATAGACCAGCCTCGACACTTGGGGAAGCCCTTCGAACAGCGCGGCTCCGACAACATCCGAGAACCCGCAGAGCCATTCCACAACACTGCCATTTTCTGTGCTTCGCCAGAATCCGTGCAAGCCGCCATCGCTGCCGCACACCCACAAAAACCAGGCCAGCGCAGGTCCAGACGCCCCCAACGCCATGATCGGCTCGCGGCCGTGCGCCAGCCCTCCCGCTGGCGTTCACTCACCGGCCTTGCGCCACCGATGGCTTCAAGAAGGGAGGCGCCCGCCTGGCAGCCGCGCTCAGTCGAGCCCTGCTGCGGGACCTTGAGGCCGTCCGCTGACGCTTCCACCCGGAAGCCGCCGAGGCTGCGGCCGAAACGCTGGGCCGCCTCCAAAAGAGGTTGAGTGACGCCTGTGGGCACTTCTTGTTGAAGGCGGTCTGCCCGGATGACGCAGCTGCTGAGCGGGCCAGCGAAACAGAACCCGGTGACCGTATGGCCGCCCATTCCGATGTGTCAATTCAGCGGGCCGCCGCCGCTTGGGGGAGGGACCATCCCGTGGATGCTGCGCCACATCCAAAGTGCTGTATGACGCGCGAGGGCACCGCTTGGGGGCGGCCTGCCGCCATGACTCACGCCATTTTGCTGACGAGCCGCATCAAAAAGAGGCCACGGTGGCCATGTTTGCCGTCGCCTGGACGATGGGCCGCTTCCAACGGCAGGCTGGGGCTCCGGTGTGCGGCGTTGAGCCTCGCACCGCCACAGGTACACGGATGGCGAATCTGGCAGCGCAACGCTGTTCAGGCAATCATGACGCCCAAGTAACCCCCATATCACAGGGCCTAATCTTACACGAGAAAGCTGACTCGGATTCTAAGAAATTCATTTCTCTCAACGGCATACTTATCCCGCCCGAGTCCACACTGGCTCAAGTGCGTTACAATATTTTCCTGCAGGGGGTATGGCACCCAAACAAAGCCCGCGGCCATAGCATTTGTGCTTGCTTAGTGTTCGGGTCGCCAATAATGAGACTCATCAAAAAAGTAGTATCTTAGTGTATCTTAATGATACTACTCAGTGGGTGACCCGTGAGGTCCAGAATCGCTGGAAAGAGAGTGTAGACAGCCTCAGAATCTTCACTAATCTGATCTTCATTCTACAGGCTGGTGCACAATGTGGCAGTAAGGCTCCAAAATTATCAGTCAAGCGTGCTCCAGAATTTTCTAGCAATCCAAGCCCAAGCACTCAGAATGCAAGGAGATGACTTTAGTGACAAAGAGAGATTATGGCAGCCTCACCATAGGCTTAAAGAACCTAAAGCAATGCAGCTGTGATGCTGAACACAGCTCCAGTACATGGCGGCATGTTACAGGGGCAGAGTGGTGTCAGACATATCTGGAAAACACCGTGAAATACTGAGGAGCACCCATTGAGTAGAGGTGGCCACCTGGATCCGTTAATAGCGGACAGAGGTTAATTTCCGTTAATTTTCCGTTAATTAACGGAAAATAACGAAAAAAGACAAAAATTAACCAAAAATTAACAGATTTTTGGATTTTTGGGGGATTTTTGGGTTTTAGTCATACTTATAGTTTATGAAATTCGCTATTAGAGAGTATGTTTGTATTTTATTTCAACCTATGCATACTAGATTTTCAACTAGCCGCAGTTGTTGTGATTTTTGGGGTCTTTTTGGATTTTTTTGGTTTAGATTTTTTTGGATTTTTTTGGATTTTTTGGATTTTTTTTCGTTTTTTCTGAATTTTTCTCCCTTTTTCTTTAACGAAATTTAACGGACAGCTGATAAAAATCAACGAACCGGACTTAACGGACCGGATGGCACCTTTGAGTGGCCACCTCTACCATTGAGGTCGGCGTGGGGCACGTGCGTTTGCTTTGACAAGGAATGCAGCCACGTGCAACCTAGTGCGTTGGACGTGGAAATGCCTGGCGAGTTGGTCTGCATCAGTTTTTCCGAGCAATGCCCATAGATCGAGCCGGGACAGCCGTGACTGGCCGTGGTGATGTTGATAGGGGGATGGCAACCACACGGCCGGATCGCTGACTGTGACAGACCAAGGCGAAACTGGTCATGGAGGATAACAGCAAGCGGTGATCCTTGCGGCCTGTGCAATCGGCTGTGTGGTGGACCGTCATGTGTTCGAACGAGCGCGGGTGCCGTGGATGCCATTGGGCCACGTCAGCCGGCCCTCTCCGCCTTGGACGGTGGGCGTATCTAGGGTAGAGGTGGCCACACTCGGGTGCCGTCCGGTCCGTTAAGTCCGGTCCGTAAAACTGAGTGTGATATTCGTCCGGTAATATCCGGTTCGCTATTTGCCATACTGCCGTCCGCAGAATCCGGCTCTCGCTTTTTCTTCACCGTTATTTGCCGTTAAATTAACGGATGATGTGTGCAGCGTCCGGTCCGCAACTGGCGTGGTTTTCGGTTCGATGCGGGCGATGGCGCCCGCCGAGGCGCCCAGTGAGGCCGCGGGGCCTCCTCCGCCGGATTGCCGGCGGGCTTTCCGGGGCGCTTGTGTCTTCGGGTACGCAGCGTAGGCCCAGGCCGCAGGGATGGCCGGGCGCGGGGCGGCTGTGCGCGCGGTGGGTGCGCGGCGCCGTGCGGCTCGCGGGTGCAGCCACTGGGAGGCGCGAGACAGGGGAAACAACGGTTACAGTACTGCGTCTGGTGGTCACCCTTTTGGGGCGGCCACCAGTGCATGTCACGTGACAATGCAGCGCACCGTATCGTATCATGTCCAGCGATAGTATCTCATCCCCCAATACGGTCCAGGAGAGGGCCCTAAGTACTGGATATTCAACTAACCATATCTCCTCAACCGCTAAGCCAATTAGGGTGGTTCAAAAACCTATGGACTCCTAACAGAGTCTACTTTCCCATGAGATACCTTAACCACTGTCCATTACACTTCCCAGATCCCGATTAGAGAAATAGTAACCACCCCCTGTAGTTTACACCACAGCAACAAAATATCCGTTGAGTAATAATTTTGGTTCGTTATTACCCATAGGTACTTGCTTTCCAGCCACGGCAAGGTCGAGGCGAAGTTGCCAAGGGGTTTCCATTTTGCAGCAACTCGAATTACGATGGGTTGCTGCGACGGTACTCCACAGTTTCCACGCCGGGGCAACGAGGGTGGTCACCTCCACAGTTTCCATGCCGGGGCAACGAGGGTGGTCACCAGTGGTGATCTGTTACGAATAGGATGTGGGTGTGGGGTTCCTGCCCTCTTTGAGCCGCGGACCCGCCTCGCCGGGCACCTAGGTCCTTACAGGGCACCTAGGCGGGACCACCCCTCCTACTCCCGTATCTTAATATGGATAAAGGTTACAGTGGGTGAGGAATAGTACGTGCCTTGGGCAGGGCGTCCCCCACACCAAGGGCCATTAGTAGGACGTCTCCCACATCAGGCTGGTGCGCGTAACATTCGTCCCCCTTAGGGAGAGGGGCGTCCTCGTCCCAGTATAAGTGAATACGGGAGCAAAAACATTGTATGTATGTTGGTGGAACTGGCTGTGCGATTTGCCACATGCCCAGTTAACAAAACACAACACACAAAACAGTTTTGGATGAAGAGAAAGAGTGGTTGTTTTACATGACCGTCCCCGCCTTCACAACCCTCATTAAAACTCTTCCTCAGCCAAGTGGCTGGAAATGTTTGACCTCCCGGCCTTTCATCGGCGACCACGATGCCGAGTACCACCAAAAGCCCACGCCGGTACAGATCGGCCCGGTGCGGCGCCCCGCCGTCGCCCACGTCCGCGTGCACGCTCAGGCGCACGGGGAAGTGGCACGTATGGGTCGGCGGTCTCCAACCTCTCCCCGTTGAGGATCGCGACGGACATGGCGTTCATGTGTCCAAACTGCGACCTTGCACGGGGGGCAGTATACCCAGTGTTTTTCTGGGCCCAGCGCAAGAGAACCTGTCAAAAGCATAAGCACACATGAGCATGTTTCGG